ACACACACGCTTACACTGGGACCCTTTGGATTTACCATTAACTATGCAGCATGAGGACTCACTTGATTGGATATAAATTAAATAAAATTGTTTAGACACAGCTGTTAGCAAATCTAAATCTAAAACTTGTGCCGAGACCTTATAATCAGGTGTTAAATTGTATCCAGAATTAGAATACTCATATTTATGAAATGACTGTCATCAAGTTGAATATATTACAGCTTGATAGGTAGATGATCCCAGGGAGGACGATTGTGTAAAATTAATTGTTAATTAACTTCTCACAGTTGCTCAATAGAATGATCATGCATCATTTGTTATCTTGTTTATTGGTGGCCCTACTTAAAAAGTTTATCAATAGTCAAAACTTTTTTTAGTTTTAAATAGAATAAGGAAGGATTAGAAATTCTATCATGAAAGTGAGGGGGAATCTCTCTAACAACAACACAGACAGAAGTAAAATGTTTTCTTTATAGTACCTTAACTATTAACCCCTTCATGACTGAGGCCCTTTTTTAAGGCTGTACGTCGTCAGTCACGAAGGGGTTAATAAAAATGTATCTCATTTGTGTATCACTCGGCTGTAGATCCTCAAATCATCTCTAAATTGGTGCTTACACTGTCCTTCCTTCTGGAGGGTGGCTACTTTTGTTCACCATGATCCCTGTGTGTGTTGTAAACTAGTCACCACTCCAAGCTCACTCCCGTGATGGACTACAATCTCATGTTTAGTTTACTAATGTGTATTGGGGGAACAAAAGTAGCCACCCTCCAGAAGGAAGGACAGTGTCAGCACCAATTCAGATATGATTTGAAGATCTACAGCCGAGTGATATACAAATAAGATGCATTTTTATTAATAGTTTGGGTACTTTGGTGCATTATTAAGATTTAACTTTTGAGTTTTATGTCACTTTAATCAACAGAATTAAAGCTTTGTGTGTTATCTGTGTCTCGGGGTGCTGATTATCTTCTGACATTTTTGACAAACTGGAGGAGCAAGAGTATAGTGCACCACAGAGAAGATACAAAAGAGAGTTTATTGCCAAGTCCTTGTTGTGCTTGTGGAAGATTAATTTATAACCCACTCCGCTTCTATTATAAGCCTACCTGAGCCCATGGTGAAGTTACAATTCTAAATGTCTCTTTTATGAGGGCCAGCATGGACAGGAACTCCTCATCTTCATAGTCAAAACGCTCATTAAAAACAATAGAGCAGACGATGTTGGAGACAGCCAGGCTCAAGAGGTATGTGGGATCAAATGGGGCCCCTGGAAGAGAACAGACAGTTGGTTTTAGTTTTATGTTATTCTTGTTATAAACAATTCTTGTCTAAGCGGAAAATTTTCATAACAATCTCTAATGCAGGGATAGGCAACCTCAGCACTCCAGATGTGATAAAACTACAAATCTCATCATGCTTCTGCCTCTAGGAGTCATGTATGTGGCTGTCAGAATCTTGCAATGCGTCATAGGACATAGTTTCACCACAGCTGAAGCAAGGAGAGCTCACAGTGTGTAAATCAGGGGCACCCACAATTTTTCGTCTGGAGATCTACTTTTCAAATGACGAGCTCAATGAGATCTACCAATGAAAAAAACACCTGCATTCAGGGGGCGGGAGGGGGCGTGGTGGTGCATTGAAGTCAATGGCACCGCAGCCAGGCACCGCAGATAGTGCCTGCGTTCCAGTCTAGTGCGATCCGCAAAAATGCTGCGAGCACTATTTTTGCAGATCGCACTGGACCGGAATGCAGGCACTAATGTGACTGCGTTCCGGGTGCGGGCGATCGCACTGTGGGCGGGGGGCATGGCTGCGGTGCCATTGAGTTCTATACAACCCCACACCCCCTCCCGCCCTTGAACGCAGGGAGTCAACCGGCTTACATTCCAGTGCGTCCTAGAGGCCCCGGCGTCTTGTCCTCCAGTGGTGCTCGTGTGGCTGACGTTGCACATGGGGAGAGGTGTCCTGCCCCTTTCCATCTGCAGCATCTGACACATTCAGCCGGCAGCTGCACGAGCACCGAGGGAGCATAGCCATAGCCAGCTCCTTTTGCGCCCGAGGCAAGAAAAAATCTTACTATTTTTTATTTTATTTTTATTATTTCTTTTTTTT